GATTCATCGACATCATATCAATGACATAGTGGTCATATCCTTAATATTGCAAAGGGCACGTTTATTGTGCAATGCTAATGTGCATTTTTAACAACACGTCCACTGCATGTGTGCTTTGGCTGTTGCAATCGGCTAATTGAAACTTGAAATGCAGTGCAAGCGTCTTTGGAGTTTCAACAGAATCAATGCAGTGTTCCTACGATACGAGAAGAAATAGTGTCCCAACGATCCTGTTGATGATGCAAAGGCGCCTTTATGAACAGGGTGGTCTTCAGGTGTGTTCTGTTAGGATTTCCATGACTCCTGTTTTCATTAGCACTTAGTAACTTTGTCTGATCAAATACAGTGTCTTCCTTTGTACTTTCAGGCAGAAGGTATTTTCCGTATTAATGCGGAGAATAGCCAGGAGGAATTTGTGAGAGACCAGTTAAATAGTGGAATTGTTCCGGATGGCATTGAGGTCCATTGTTTGGCAGGCCTAATTAAAGTAAGCTTCTTTCTAATTATTCTGTTCATCTGTTGACAGCATAAGTTTTTAATCGCACGAGGTTATTAATGATTGTGCTTATCTTTACTGTTTGAATTTCATGTCAACTACTGTCAGAGAATCCACACTTCACTTTGTAATGCAACTCAGTTAATCTTTTTCTGCACAAAGATATTGCTTCAACTTTCTTCCCTACTAGCAAAACTGCCCATGCATTGCAATGGCACAACATATCAAAGAAGTACATTTGTATATATGGCTAACCTTGGTTCCATGATGTTAGAGAAAGATTGGGGTGAGGGTGAAACTAATTTGTGTTCAGTGGCATGGTGGGTAAATAAAGCGAAAAATATGGGTAGAGACATAGAGTGGTGGTGATTGCAGACACACCAATGACACCATCACCATCAATTCCATTGTTTTAAGTGGTAGAGATACACACAAAATTGTGGATTTGGGATCATGCTGTTGCAGAATATTATCTTGCTTCCTGTTCGCTTGGGCTTGTTTGGCTGGTAAGCCATGGCTGATTTGGTGTGAGAGAAAAATATTGTTCGTTGGCTGAAAAAGTACGGCTTATAAGCCAAACAAGCCCAAGCGAACAGGGCGTCAACTTATTTGATGCTAATATTTTAGTTACTCAGCTTTACTTGACAAGACAAGTATATTCTCATCAAATTTACTTTTTTCATCACTTTTCAGTCCTGGTTCAGGGAGATGCCAAGTGGGGTGCTGGACTCGATCCCGCCGGAACAGGTGATGCAATGCCAATGTGAAGAGGATTGTGCTCGTGTGGCTAAATGCCTTCCACCAGCTGAAGCTGCTTTGCTTGATTGGTCTGTTAACCTGATGGCTGATGTAGCCCAAGAAGAACAGATAAACAAGATGAACGCTCGCAATATTGCTATGGTTTTTGCACCAAATATGACTCAGGTAATATACTGTGCTAATAACCTAGCAAATTAACAATATATCTCACTCGTCACTCCAAATACAACTGAAATGGTTAGGCATGCTAACTATAGGCCATCTACCTTGCAGATGGCAGATCCATTGACTGCATTGATGTATGCTGTGCAAGTGATGAATTTTCTGAAGATGTTAATACAAAGGACCCTCAAGGATAGAGAAGAGTCCAGTCTGGAGGATGTTTTGCTGCCCCAGAAGGATCCATCTGATGAAAATGGGTATCAGAAACCCAGCATGACACTTGATTCGCTCGTTGAGGAAGGATCCAGACGTCCCTCTTTCGTCAAGGATGAGCCTCTCCTGAACAGTCCTGCACACAGTAATGAGGACAAACCTAATGAAATTAATGCCGCTGAAGGAGCCACTGCTGCTTTCACTGTCCAGACAAGTACAGAGAGCTCCGCTAGTTGCTCACAACCTGCACTTGCTGCTCACGCTGCTACTGCTGATGCTTCCAGCACAACTACAAATTCTCTTCAAGGGAAGGAGAGCCAAAACCTGAATTGTAGGAGGACTAGAAAAGGTAAGGGTCAGTCTGCAACACGTGCCACACCTCCAGCTGAGAAATCAAGAGGTGTGAGCATTGTGAGCCGGATAAATTCCAAGGTTGAACGGATTGAAGCATGGAGATGAAATCAAATGACATTTCCATTGTTGTTGTGCACTAGATGACTAACCTGATGTTTTGCTGAAAATAGGAACCCAGACTGCTGGGTTGCACATTTTGCATTTTGTCTGTGTATCATTTCTTGCTGTATCATGGTCATGGTATTTTGAGATTCATTCTTCTTACCATCACTAACTTTTGTATCTTTCTTATGGTCCCTTGTTTGAGTGATGAATGAAAGATATTGATGCTTTCTTTTGTACATAAATCTCTTCAATGCCTAAATTATGATTTATGAAGTGCCTGAAAGTTCAGGTATGACCTGTGCTGTGCTTGTCTTATCGCTTAGTCCCTTATTCTGCTCTCTGCACTCATTTCAAAATTTCGGATTGCAGCTTGGGTTGTCACTCTTTGTGTTTTACTTTTGGAAAGTTTAATGCTTTATTTTTGTCCCTTTCTCTCAGTGCTCTCTGAGTTGCTTATCCTTTTCGACAGTATAATTTTCCTATGCTGGACTGTCTGCAACTGAACTCTCAAGCACCATATTCATGCCTTCTTTCATTGCATCATGTAGCTTTATTCTACCTCCTCTCCTTCATTCTTTTTCGATTACAGGCTTACAGAATCTGTGCAAAGGTTTTCCAGCTCTCGTGACAAATACAGTGTGAACAAGCCAGTCACCACCAATTGCTATTTCATCCTGTCTTTTAGGCCTACTCAACAATGAAAAGTCAGACAATCAAGGATGATTTTGAGTTACCTTGATTTCTGCCTGTTCAGCTAGCTGTGTTGTTTTTGTTGATGTGGCTGTCATCCTTTATTCCCTGTCGGTATTTGGAAGCTCTGTATTCCAATCTCAAGATCACACTAGCGTTATTCTCTGTGAGAAGTACAGTACCAGTAGGCAAAAATCTTTGTGCAGTGATTGGTTGGTTCTAGCACCACTTAAAATCGGAATCTGATCTGGGCAGACAGATTGCTATGCTGACCTTATCGGGATTGCCATCGTCAGCTGTAGTATAATTTGCGCACGGCAGACAAATGGCACTCCAAGGATTCAAACGGGGTCGAGCCCCCCCTACCGATACTGGAGCCCCCATAAATTTTTATGTAAAGTTCTATCGTGTAGATGGGGCTGAGACTTAAGATCGAGCAGCAGTCGGAAGTATGTTGCTGTCACACTTTTGTTCAGCCCCCCTAAAATTTTTCCTGGATCCATCGCTGGACAGGTCAATTTTTGTCCCAGAATACTCAAGCAAAGACTTGATGGTGCGCATTACAAAGATATAGTTCATCCATGTACGAAGTTAGTGCTGATATTCTGATATCTAAAACACCCACTCATTGGTGCTAAAGAAACTGAATGACTTTTTGCGCTGCAATGAACTGTCTGAACTGAGCTCTCAAGCACCGTATCCATGACCCTTTTCATTGCATCAGGTAGCTTTATCTAATCTTCTCTCCATTGGTTTTCCTTTTAGGTTTATCGGATCTGCGGTAAGATTTTTAGCTTTCAGAAAGAATAATATACGTTTTAAACAAGCAAAACGACGCCAACCGCCCTTTCATTCAGACAATGAAACAGTATGGAGAGGTTTGCCCAATGCCCACGCTCTATGATTGTTGAGGTATACATCTGACGAATTCCTCTCTTTCTGTGGTGTGGTGACTTTCACATGCTTTGTTCCTTGTCGGTTTTGGAAGCCCCCTTATTCCCTCTTCTAGATAACATTGGTCTTATGTTAAAAAAAAAAGAGATAACACTGGTGTTATCCTCCTTTTCCATAATTATATAAAAAAAGTTATACATAAGTATTTTCTATAAATTGTTGAATGGCTAAACCTGATTGTGTAATTTTCTTTCTTTTGTTCTTGTAAAGTCTCCTTTTTTATATTAATATAAAAGCAGTAGGGGCCTGGCCCCTCCTATTACATAGAAAGGAAGCACTGGTGTTATTCAGTGACAAAGGCAAGTACACTACTGTCTGGAGAAAATCATCCCTCTTTTCTAGGCTTTAGCACCACTTGAAATCAGAATCTAGTTTTGGCAGACAGATTTGTATGCTGACCTTACCGGAATTTCCACCCTGGGCTGCATAATTTGCTCAGGAGAGACAAAAAAGCCACCACAAGATCGCCATCAGCACTTGCCCTGTTCGCTTGGCTGATAAGCCATGACTAAAAGTACTGTTGGCTGATTTGTTGTGAGAAAAAAATATTGTTCGTTGACTGAAAAAGTACGGCTTATAAGCCAAGCGAACAGGGCGACTACGAGGACAGGTCAATTTCTGTTACGGAATTGGAACATTGACGCAACTGATCACTCGTGCAAAATACATAGACATTTCACTGACTCAAAGATACATTGTTGCATTCAACTGTAAGATTTTCATCCCTAAAGAGACATTATACAAAATGGAAAATGGATTCTTTCTTAGCACTGCAGTGGCGGTTGTTTAAAACCAATGTCTTTAGCGCTGTACTGACGGCCATATTCTCCAGTTGAAAGACTACCCTCCACTTGTTAAAACTGAAGTGATATATGCAAGTATATTCCAATTCCACAGCCACAGAAAGCCCTGCATATTTCTCCACCGCTCCTTTTTTTTCTTCTCCTAGTAGTATATATATATACATATATATAAATACATCTTTCTCCCAGGCTGACAAAGTCACAATTCAGAGAGACACAAGAATTTGAGTGTAGCTCCTGACAGTCAGTCACAAACCTCAAAACTGTTCTGCACATCCTTCAGCAGCTCCTTTGCAGTTGCAGGTAAGCAAAACAGACTGGCACATCTCTCAAGTCCCAACTGACTGACATGGTGTCTGAACTCTGAACAGAGCAGACGCAGAAGAACTGAAACGTTTGTTCACTTGTGCAGCCGTGCAGCTAGGTGCATGTTGTCCAGAGATAAGCAGGTGATGGCTGCGCCGATGGCCGCGGCGGACGGCGGGCTGAGGCGGCTGTTCGAGAAGCCGCTGCCGGAGAACCCGACGCTGCTGGAGGCGCTTTCGGCGTGGAACCGCAATGTCCACCACCACCACCACCCCAGCAACAAGCCCATCGTCGACACGGCGTCCATCACGGAGATCTTCGGCGAGCTCCACTTCCAGGAGAAGCCGCAGCAGCCGGACCACCGAGGCGCCGCCGCCGTCCTCCTGCCGCCGCCGTCGCCGCCGCCGCCGCGGTCCCCTCCTTCGCGCACGCCGTCGTGGCTGGACATCGCGGCGGAGGCCGAGAATAAGAGCAAGGACGACTCGTCGCTGGACGCGCTGCTGAGGCCCAAGCCGGCGGCCACCGTGGCCACGGTGAAGAGGAGCGCGAGCTTCTGCGCCAAGAAGGGCTCCTCGTCCGCGTCGCTTCTGCTCTGCACCGAGGGGCTCGGCTACGAGAGCACCGTGGATGCCGACGACATGTTCAAGGACGGCGACGCCGAGGCCGAGGCCGCCGCGCTCAAGGGCACAGTCGAGACGGCGCCGGCGGACGGCGGAGACGACGCTGTTGCGGACGCCACCAGCGCCGGCGCCGCGGAGAAGGCGAAGGAGGAGGAGAGGCAGCCCAAGACGTTCCCGCCGCCGATACGGTCCATCGGGCGCGGCGGCAAGCCGTACGTGTGCTTCCGGTCGTTACGGGAGGACGGCCGGTTCGTGCTGCGGGAGGTGGTGATCCCCGGCAAGGAGCTCCTGCAGGCCACGCGCGAGGGCGGCCGGCTCAGGCTGCAGTTCGCGGCCGCCGCCGCCGCCGCAGCCGGTGTGAGCCTCGACGAGGCGGTGCACGGAGGTGACGACGACGACGACCACCGTGGCAAGAACTCATGCATTGATGCATAGACGACGGTGAAAGCTAGGCGATCGGAGGTCGTTGATGGACTTGGCATGCTTGCATACGATCGATAATTAATTATCCTATGGATGATGATGATGATGCAATGGTGTAATCATGCTTATGAGAAGCATCGGCTACCTAATTAATTAAGGTTTCTAAAGTGTTCTTCAGAAAGCGATGAAATGAAAAGCGTTATGCTCGTCCTATTCAGTCAGAAATTCAGATTCCACCTTTCTTCATTCTTGATAAATATATATTTTTTAAAAAATGATTCCTGATTCTTCAGTGATCTGTATGGCACAACTGATCCATCGCTTCAACCAGCGAATCAGTCGAGCATCTCTTTCCGCTGCATCTTCACGCATGCATTGCACTGTGATTCCTGCACCAACCAATAGAAATTTGCTAGGTTGGAGTTGGGTGAAAAGGCAGGGCCACTTGACTTGAGTAGGGAAAGCCCCGTGATTGGTTACAACGTGCCAAATTTGGGCGACTAAATCGGCCGCTCATGGGCCACAAAATGAAACCGCGTTTGGGCACGGATTTTTTCGTTTTTTGCACAATTATTTGTCTGGATAAAAAATGCAAAACTATACAGTTGGTGGAATTGGCGGAATTTTCTTGTCTCTGCTAGCTCATGTTAAAAAAAACATAACTTTTATATATAAACTCGTCCTAAAAGGGCTCCGGCTCTGGTTTCAAATGCCAGAGTAGTTTCTTTTGTGGAGCTAGAACCATTTGTGAATCGTTTGGCAAAAAGAGACTCTAGTGGCAGCTTTACAATAATTTATATTAGGTTTGTAGGGAGGAGCCAGGAGAAGCTATTTTTTCGGCTCCAGCTCCTGTATACAAAAACGGCTCAGGCTCCTCCGAGCTCATCGCAAGGAATCGTGTTTTAGATGCCCATTTGGCAGGACTTCTTGCAAGGAGCCGCACGAAGCCCGAATCTCTTACGGAAACCAACCCTGAAGCCAAAAGACTAGTACCCAAGTAGAGATATAGATGTGTTGAGAAAAGAGAAATGTGTATTGGGAAAAGTGAAAGGTGCATTGATAAGTGAGAGCTCAAGCAGTTTAGGACAAAATTTGAATGTATAAGATCGACCATCTATTTTAGAATGGAGGAGGTATGTTTATAGACCTAAACGTTATATCGACTATTTTGGTACAACAAACGAAAATGTTGCGAAAATGAGCTTTGCATTCTTGGGCTAAAACGCGTCCTCTATTCGATGGGCTCAAATAACCCTACTGGGATTACGCCTAAGAAGGTGCGGTGTATTCAATAAAGGCCCGTTTCGCTTAGTGAACGCTACACAGGCCACGGAACATTTTGGCCCAAAATTATTCTCATCATCGGGGGCCCACCTGAAACCAAGCGCTCGCTCGCTCTTATCCAGCAAGCTACTCGGCGTCGTCTGCTCCTGCTTCCCTCTCCCTTCTCTTCTCTCCCCTCCGCCGCGGAAATGGAGGCCACCGCGCCCGCGCTCGCGCTCCATTCGTCCCCCGCCGCCTCCCGCCGCTCGCCAGGGAAGCCAGTCTTCGGTTACCTCCACCGTGGTGGGCCCTCCACGGCCTCCTCCGTCCACCTCCGCGCGGCCCGGACCCCCGCCCGCTCTCCGGTTCGCTAGCTAGCTTTGGTTCATTCAGTTTTTTTGCATGCGGAAGAAGGTTGCATTGCTCGGCGGGTTTAATGTTTCGCGGGGGCGTGCTCACGTCTGGGCGGTTTAGGTATGGAGAAGGCGGTGGAGGGGGAGCGGGCTGGTTGTGCGCGCGGAGATGTTCGGCCAGCTCACCACCGGGCTCGAGTCCGCCTGGAACAAGCTGCGCGGCGTTGGTGCGTGGCTCTGCTTCCTCTTCATTCATACGATCAATGCATCTGTTTTGTCGTTTTTTTTTCATTTTCATGCGTTAAGAGGAGCTTTTTATGCGGAACTCTGAGACTAGTACTGAAGTACAAGTTCAGTACATGCTTCCCTAGTGGCCATTACTTACTCATTTGTGGTGTACTCCTATGTTTGCTTGTCGAACCATATGACTGTAAGACTATACACTATAGGTGTTATGTGCTTGTTAATTTGTTACCACTACTTTGTTCTACACTTCTGTGTAACTTTGTTTAAACCAAAGTATGTGCTTTAGTAAGTAGTAACTAACTTGTCAGTATTATCATTAACACATTGCACTTTTCATTTAAGACGTCCTAACAAAGGAAAATATTGCCGAACCAATGCGGGACATTAGGCGAGCACTTCTGGAAGCAGATGTCAGTACCTTGCATTTTCATGTTCTACTCATCACTTCATTTATACCTATATAGTGTGAGGACTGAAGTTTCTCCTGCTTTCGTCAGGTTAGTTTGCCCGTTGTGCGACGGTTTGTTTCATCTGTTAGTGATAAGGCTTTAGGTGCAAATGCTATCAGAGGAGTCCGACCGGACCAGCAATTAGTGAAGGTATTTCTGCGTCACACTGCCATTAAGGAATTTACAGATAATGAGCGCATGAACTTTTGCTTGGTTGAATCATTTCATTTGTTTCACTTTGGTGTTCTCCACAACTTAATTCATTTAACTTTTCTTAGTGTTACAAGTTCCCTATTCTCTGGAGGAGTAGCAAATCACACCAGCAAAGAAAATAAAATAACATGCACAGACAGTCTTATCTGAAATGTTCAGTTATTACTTATTAGTTTATGCTAAATGAAAACACAAACAGCTTTTTGAACTAATTAATTTCTGGAAGAGGAAAAATAATCTGACTGGTGCTGCAGATTGTGCATGACGAACTTGTACAACTGATGGGTGGAGAAGTATCAGATCTGGTATTTTCAAAAAATGGCCCGACAGTTATCTTGCTCGCAGGTCTACAGGGTGTTGGGAAGACTACTGTTTGCGCAAAGCTTGCATTCTATTTGAAGAAACTGGTGCATCCCTCACCCTTTGATTTTCGTGCATCTAGCACTTAATGCTTGATAACCTGTAGATACTTATACCAGAGTTAGGTTACAGGGGAAGAGTTGTATGCTGGTTGCTGCAGACGTTTACAGGCCTGCCGCCATTGATCAACTCACTATACTGGGTAAACAGGTAACCCCCTTGAACCTTCACGTAGAACTGCTTTTTTGCCATTGAATAGTTGTAGGTATGTCTCCAATTTTAAGGGGCCAAGATGCCCTCAGATTGTTTCAAAACTTGGAAGTTAAACCGATCATATTACATCTGCTTTTGAAATGCAGTACCACAATTATGTCAGAGTTATTTTTCTTTTGAGCATTGACAGGTGGGTGTACCAGTTTACTCAGAAGGGACAGAAGCCAAACCTACACAAATAACCAAGAATGCTATGGAAGAGGCCAAAAGCAAGAATATTGATGCCATTGTGGTAGATACTGCTGGTAGACTGCAGGTTAATCTTCATTGTACTCTAATTTCAGTCACTAGTGCCAACTTATGGAATTCTACTCTGAACCTGATTTACCCATACCTTTATACAAAACTTATAATTCATATGTCATACGAACTAGCATCACTGACACCAGATGATGACCTTTCTGCCATTCAGATTGATAAATCAATGATGGATGAATTGAAAGAAGTGAAGAAGGCTGTTAATCCTACAGAAGTTCTGCTTGTCGTTGATGCCATGACTGGCCAAGAAGCTGCAGGTATCCATCTGTTTCTTCTTGCCATTGTTGCAGCATGGGTGTTGCCAAGGGCCAAAATTTAGTAAACATTGGTTGGTACTTCAGCAAAAGCATGGTTGGCCAGGAAACTGGCTATTGCTCTAAATTTTTTCTATTAAAAAACTGTTAACAGTTTTTATTGTTCCTGGCTCTACACAGGATGGCTTTGTTCTGTTGATGGATTTTCAGTGAGCAATATAGTATTGCGACAGAAACATAAACTATTTCTTTCTGATATGCAGCACTAGTCACCACCTTCAATATTGAGATTGGTATCACTGGTGCTATACTGACTAAATTGGATGGTGACTCCAGGGGTGGAGCTGCACTAAGTGTTAAAGAGGTAGTCATTTACCAGAAATCATTTCTATTAGTTGATGATGCAAAGAAGATTATTATCTATCAATTTTACTATTCAACTTCACTTTATTTTGCTAATTGATAATCAGCACTTTTGTAGTTCAATAGTGCTGATGGCAGTTTTTCACTAGCATAACTTTCGCACCATGTGCATATATCTTTGTAGTTTCCTTTTTCACTAGCTTGCTGCAGTTATGAAAAAAAAAAATCTCATATCGAATTAACTCTTGGACTGCACTGCATGGATAAATCTCAGCAGTCTTTAATCCCTGCCAGTTGTTGTGTCCATGCACTGTAGTATGTAAACATTTTTTGTTTTCAGCTGATATAAGAGAACATCACTGCTTAATTGACCATGCAGGTCTCTGGGAAGCCCATCAAATTTGTTGGGCGTGGGGAACGATTGGAGGACCTTGAGCTTTTCTACCCTGATCGCATGGCACAACGAGTTTTAGGAATGGGAGATGTACTCTCATTTGTTGAAAAGACACAAGAAGTTGTAAGTAGCTTCCTGCAAAACTGCTCCTTTGTTGTGTAAGTAATATTGTGAGCATTGTATGTTATTTACAACTCTACATGTGGTACAAATAGATGCGGCGAGAAGAGGCTGCAGAATTACAGAAAAAGATCATGAGTGCAAAATTCGACTTCAACGACTTCTTAATACAATCTCAAAATGTTGCGAAAATGGGTTCCATGAGCCGCATTATTGGAATGATGCCAGGCATGAACAAGGTACATGAGCTTGTGGAGTTCAACATGTTCTCCAACTTTACCACTGTGCATTACAAGCATGTTTAAGTTTGATACGATAAACAGATAACTCCTGCGCAAATTCGAGAAGCTGAGAAAAGACTTGCATTCGTGGAGTCAATGATCAATACCATGACTGCTGGTACGTGTTTGCCCTGATTTTTAGCTATATATAGGAAGCCTAATTGGATGCTTACTTGAGTTGTGGACATGGATGCCTAATTCTATGTTTTCTGGGTTGCATAGAGGAAAGGGAGAAGCCAGAGTTACTGGCTGAATCGCGTGAGAGGAGGATAAGAGTGGCTGAGGAGTCTGGAAAGACTGAACAAGAGGTGAGGTTTTGTTCTATTCTTATGATATCACCAGTCTTCGAAAGTCTGCAATGCTTAGTATACCAAACCATGGAGCTAACAAGATTGTCATTTTGATTTTCCACTATTAGGTGAGCCAATTGGTTGCCCAGCTTTTCCAAATGCGTGCTCAGATGCAGAAGTTGATGAGTATGGTGCAAGGGCAAGAAGCAATAGCAGGCATGGGAGATCTCATGGACTCGCTTAAAGCTGAAGAGAAGGTAACAATGTCTCTGACGGTATGAATATTTCTGAACATTTTCCCTGGGGAACTTTGTGATTTCAGAACTGTTGTGCATCGTTCAGGCACCTCCAGGTACCGCACGGCGCAGGAGAAGGAATAGCAAGCCCAAGCAGAGGGACGTGGACGCAGTTCTGAGCATAGGAGTTGAAAGTTTTTGACTGGAAGTGGCTCCTGCATACAAGAGCAAGACTGGGGACAAGACCTACACATTCCTCATCCGATTGTGGAAATGTGTTTGGGTTCAAAAGGACTGGGACATGTATTGTGAAAATGCATAGTTGGGCGCTGCCACTGTGTAGTGTAATTGTGGTTAATCCGGCACAATTTTTTTGTACATAAAGTTTAGTCTCATGAGGGAAGATATGTTGGTAGCTCTTGAAATCGGAGTCTGTTTGTCATCCAGGGCCCAGAAGAACACGGGCCTTGAATTGGAGCCCAGACGAAGCACCATGCATGGTCACCACTGACGTGACGCACCATTGCCAACAGCTAGCTAGCGCTGGGCCAACAGCCATGTGGAGGAGTCAGGAGTGTACGATGCTCCGGCGACTTGTTGACTCCGCGTCCCCGCCACTGGGAGCCTCCAGCATTTCCTTTTTTTTGCGAGGAGCCTCCAGCATTTCCTGCCCGGCACTTGCTTAGCAGTAGCGGAAGCCTGGCCATCTAGATCCAATCCAGAGGCCGGCTCGATCGAGTAAGCTCAGTTGCGCCTTCCTTGTGCAGATCCAGCTCCGATTGCTTCATTGCGCTTGCACACGCATCTCGCTCAGGGGAGAAGGAGCGCGGCATTGGGAGATGTCAGATGCAAAAGCAGCAAGGCATCTCGTCTGAGATCCAGGTATTGACGCTATTCTACCTGAATATGACATACAGTTTGCACTCCAGCTGTCCACCGCCTTCTAATCTCTCTGCCTAGGCTGTCTTCGGCGAGGAGACCTGTCGCGGAACCCAAACCTATCTATAGGCTTAAACAGAATACCTATATAAAAGATTCATTTTAGGTGTTAGAAGAGGCATAACCTAAATCTGAGTATTTTCTCTCCTAAAGAACCATTTACAGAAAGGGTTATCTTTTGGGTCTTATTGTTGGAGAAGATAAAAAATATGTATTGAACCCTTTGCCTGTAGCGCTACCCAAAGAACGAATGGGTCTTGTATTTTGGGTCACGGATGTTTGAGATAGTCTTACCCTAGCAATTTCAGACTCTTCACAGGTAGTACTGAAGACAGAGCTGTTGATTCTTGTCTACTTGGCGCTCTGGTATGGTATGTTCATCTTTAACTTTTTCACCTCTCATTTCCCTTTTTGATTGATGCAATGCAGGGCGGGGCTAGTTTATGTTTCTTCCTTCATTGCCTAGAAGAAAACCCCACCTGATCTCAGGCTCTCTCGTTTTGGAGCACTCGCTGGGCTCTCCCTTTCTCTAGTCCAAGTGTTCGACAATCCAATTGACCTCTCTCCCCTTTCGGCTGCTCCTTGTGATGGCAGGGACAGGAAGGCTCTAAAGGCTTGCCTGCAAATTAAGAAGCCCCACTTCAGCATCATTCATCAATCAAGAGGCTACACTTGTTTTCGCAGGTCAGAATATGGGAAACTGATTATATGACTCTATTGCTTTACAAAGAAAAAACCTGATTATTTCCAAAATTCAATTTATAGGAAATCTGGGCACTTAAACAAACATGGTTGGTACTATGGAAGCTGCTGCAGTGTCTGCAGCAGTATCTGCAACATTGAAGCCTGTGTGCAACAAGTTAGCTCCACTTGTTATCAAAGAATACAGCTCTATAGTGGGTGTTGAAAAGGACCTCCGGGAACTCCAAGATCTAGCTCTGGAGATCAATCAACGGCTGGAAGCAGCAGGAGACAGAGCTATGGGGGATGCTCCATCGCTCAAAAAGTTGAAAGAAGCCGTTTATGAGGTTGATGATGTTGTGGATGAGTTCCAACTGAAGGCTGAAAAATATGAAGCTGATGGTGATGGTGGATTTGTGTCCAAATACCTGCACACAAAACCAAATTCACTTATATTTCAATGCCAGGCTGCCAAAAAGATCGAGAAAATTAAGAAGATGTTTGATGTCCTTGTGAAGCAAAGAAGTATTTTGAATTCAGTGGTTGTCAATGATCCTGTTAGCCATATAAAAGAGACACCTACGAATATGCAAACATTGCCCTTCGTGGATGAGGCAGCAGTAATCGGAAGAGACCAAGAGATGAATGATATTCTATCTGAGCTGCTACAGGATGTTGACCAACAGAGAATCAAGATAGTTTCAATAGTTGGACTTGGTGGCTCTGAGAAAACTAAACTGGCCCAGCTGATTTTCAGTAAAGTCAAAAATGAAAATTGTAATCATTTTCCAGTTAAACTATGGGTTCATGTGTCACAGAGGAATTTCAACTTGAAAAATTTCTCAAGAAGCTATTTGATGCTATTTCAAACGAGAGGTCCGATGGCCTTTCCTTGACGTATGTGGCCAATAAAATCTCAGACGGATTGACCAACAAAAGGTTCCTACTTGTATTGGATGATGTTTGGACTCAAGGCCGTATTAAGTGGGCAGAGTTCATGGTACATCTAAAGCATGGCTCACCAGGAAGCAGGATTCTACTCACTACTCGTAGTAGAAATGTTGCTGAAGCAGTGGAATCTACAACACTAATCGACTTGCCATCATTGTCTGAGGATTATAGCTGGCAAGTATTTCAGCAAAGCTATGGAAATGCTATGGAACATGACTTTGAAGAAGTTGGGAAAGAGATTGTGAACAAGTGCGGTGGGGTGCCATTAGCAATTAAAGTTCTTGCAGGGGTCCTCCGAGTCAAGAAACGATTAGAACAATGGCAAGCTATAAAAGAGAGTAATTTATTAAATGTTGAGGGTGAAGAACGTCAAGTATCAGCCTGCTTGTGGTTGAGCTATTTTAACTTGCCATCTCATCTAAAGCAGTGTTTCACAATGTTGACGGTAGTTAACACTTATCATAAACTGTTAATATAACTTGTATAAATGCATGAAAATGATCACCAACATAGGTTTAGGGGTTTAAACTAATAAATTCCACAAGTTTTGGTGAATCTGTGTTTTCAGGAGGATTTATTCAGGAAACAGTCAAAGTGGACCCAATCGTCAGAGCAAATCACGACCGACCGCGACAAAACCGACTTAGAAGAGTCCTAAATCACCATAGAAGATAATCCACCGCGACCCGACCTCAAATGTCAGAGGGCTGCGTCGGTTCTCCTCCACCTCCAAGGTTCAATCTACGCCGTTGCTCAAGGTCGGTTCGTAACGAGGGCTCAGATTTGACGTTGCCATGGATTCATGGGCCCGCAGGACTCCTGGTGCCCCCTATAAAAGGCCCCCCATACCTCCTCCTGGAGGGCATCCTCCTCCATCATTTGAAGAGATCAAGAAGAAGAACCTCAGAGCTCCACAAATATTCTTAGGCATAACAAGCTAAGTTAGATCTAGAGAGAGTCAAGCTCCCTGCTTGATTCCTGATCTTGTCAAGAGTTTGGCTTGGTAAAGCCTTCTGTATCCTTTATTATTTGCTACCTTTGCTATGACATTGTTCTTTATATTATTCATGTTCTTAGTTATCATGTTCATGGTTTGCTTTTTTTTGTGGAACATTTATGGTTTGCTTTGATTATATGCCTAGTAGAATCATTATTTTGTTTATGCATAAGATCGTAAAGCGCTCACTCTTATGTTCGAACGGGGTGAGTGGTCGACATTGTGTAAGTATGGTACTTATACGTTGTTTACCTGTGGATGCACCCTACATTCCGGACCATGTGGTAAATCGCGAGGGTGACAGCCTCGTTGAGTCCTTTGTAGTCCACCTCCTGTTTGTAGGAAGTAGGACCCGGTTGCTATGGAAATCAAGCTCTATTCTTGATCTTCCTAAGTAATGTCCCTTATGTGTAGATATAAAGATCCTTATCCACTGCTAAGTATATGCACATCAATGTATGCTTTGACTTGTGACTAAAATGATTTAGGAATTAATTTCTCCTGTATCTACTTAACTTACTATTGATATCTTATGTAGTACTCTGAGTGTTACATTTATCGTTTATGTATATTATTCTATCTCTTGATTTACTCCTGTTTAGAGTAAGAGGTTGGTTGGTTCATCCATCATAAGTATAAGTTATCAATATCTCTTTGCCAGTCCTTCTCTGAGGTAAAAAGTATAAATAACGATAGCTGGAATACTCCTGGTGAAGTGCTACACACAATATGTTCAATTTTTCCTAAAGGTCACTTGATCGATAAAGACCAATTGATTGACCAATGGATTGCTCATGATGTGATCACTGAAGATGGTGATAACTACTTGGAATATGTTGGCCATGAGTACTTTAGTCATCTTGTGCAAATGTATTTCATACAAGATGTGATGGAAACATGGGGTGGAAGAATAAAGTGTAAGATGCATGATCTTTCCCAATCCATTTTGGGTGATGAGATTTCACTTGCCGTGCCAGAGAAGGCAACAAATTGCACAAAGATCTGCAGATATTTTTCTATAATGGAACACACAAGACATCTTCCGCCCAAAAATACATTTCAAAAGGCACGTGCTATGTATATTGCTGAAAATGATGATTTCATATTTGGCAAGGCATTGAAGAATGCAAAACACTTGCGCAGTATCAGTGTGAATGATGTGCATACATCAGCACTCACAGCCGTACTAGAGACCAAAAATTTAAGGTACCTTAACATTTTAGGACTGAAATATGAAACACTTCCTGAGGTTATTTCAGACATTTGGAGTCTGCAAGCTCTTCATGTAATATCAAGTGACCTTGTCATGTTACCTGAATCCATTGGTAAGCTGCAGAAGTTGAGAGTGATCAACTTGTCATATAGTTTGAGGCTAACAGGTTTGCTAGATTCCATTGGCAACTGTGTCATGATTTCTCGCATACACCTTTTTCGTTGTCACAATGTCAGGAATAAAAGGCTAAGAGTATTGAGACTAGGCAATACCAAACTTGAGAGGCTACCATCAAGTATCACGGCACTAGAAAACCTAGAGTGTTTGGACCTTCAATGCTGTTTTGAGCTGGAAGAGTTGCCTAAAGGCATAGGGAAATTGAAAAAGCTTGTTGTTCTGAACCTGCAAGGATGTGAAAAGT